TGCTCAGGGATGACACTAAAGTGTCCCACTACTGCCCAGACTTAATGAGCTGGAAATGTGGAAGCGACACTTCCCACCTGGAAGGGATTCAGACGGCTCCTCACGTTTCCCCTTCTCCTTTTCTCCAGCACTCTTCTCTGACGGTCCCTGGGGTTGTGCCTGGGGTGAGCAAGCTGTTGCCAGCAAGCCTGTTAGTCTCTCTCTTCTTGTAAATGAACCATTTGAATCCTAAAATGTGTCCATGAGGTCTGAGGCCTACCTACTCTCATGTCAGAGCAAAAGACTAATGCTAAAGACAGGAAGGGCGGGCCTGTGGTCAGATGGTCAGATATACTCTGCAGCACACAGCTTCTGCCTCCCAGTCAAGAGTTCTTGTGTTATGGCTGAAACTAGGGCAGCTGAGGCCTATGAGGAAGGAGCTCATAGCTCCTCATTTAGCAGCATACTCGACAGGAGAGCACAGGCGGCTTGTTTACATTTTGGGCAGAGCGTAGCTTCCACGTTTCCTTTAAATACAGGTTTTGTTGAGATGTTGAATGACTCGCCCCTAACAACTCATTCCTTGGGGAGGAGGGCTGGCCTGCAGATGGTTTGAATCTGGAGGCCTTGGGCAGTGTTGCGCCCATGAGGATGAATGATCATTTTCCTGTGCAAAGGGTTTCAGGCTCTTTCCCTTGACTGGGCTATGATGAACTTAAGGAACGATACAAAAGGCTACTTTGATTTTGCTTGGGGCAAAGGAAGGGAGCAATAGAAGGAAGAGTGCAGGAAGAACTTGTCTTTTGGATGAGTTCCATGTCTGAGCCCTAGTGAAGGAGAGAGGCTGGCACTAAGCCCACAGACCTAATTGGTTCTAGGACATCAAGTTGTTCGGTCTTGCTTACCTAATCACATCTGTGTTCTTACTCAATGCTCACTAGGTCACCACACAGCCTCTCCCCAACTCTGCACAAGTTCCCATTAGTCTCCTAGTCCTGAACTGGTAGGATTTACTGGTTATGTTTGATAGTCGGGTCTACTCAGAGACTTTTTTTTTTTTTTTTTTTTTTTGGTTTTTCGAGACAGGGTTTCTCTGTGTAGCCCTGGCTGTCCTGGAACTCACTCTGTAGACCAGGCTAGCCTCGAACTCAGAAATCCACCTGCCTCTGCCTCCCAAGTGCTGGGATTAAAGGCATGCGCCACCACCGCCCGGCGAGACTTTTTTTTTTAAGATAGGGTTTCTCTGTGTATCCGTCAGGGAACTCACTATGTAGACCAGGCTGTCCTTGAACCTGGAGATCCACCTGCCTCTGCCTCCCAAGGGCTGGGATTAAAGGTGCATTGCCACCACAGCCTGGCTTTACTCAGTGACTCTTTATGCTGGAGGTGGGGGTGTTCCCCAGATCTTTGCAGTTAAATCCCACCCCACCCCACCTCTGACGTTCACCACACTTCTCCCTTGGCATGAAGCGACATTAGCTTTGCTTAGATTGGTAACCAACTGCTACCTTCAGCACTTTGGCAGTTCCTCCATTTGTGCCTGGGACAAAGAAACTAAAAACAGACTTTTGTCCAAATGTTCCATCATGAAGATAACAACCTTGGGAAGGGTTATGTGAGATATTGGACCATCGAGAGAGAAATCTATTTGTAATGTTTTTGTGTGTGGTTTCTTATGGCCATACGGAGATCCAAGCTCCTATGCATATCCTGACTTCAAATTCAGCTTTCCCTCTCAAAAATTTTAAAACTTCCCTGGCCAAGTGTGCTGGTCTACTTCCAAGACAGCACCAGAACTGTAAATTGGGCCAGCCTGGGCTATGTGGTAAGATGTTCCCAAAATCAAAGGTCTTGTCATTTAGTACCCATAACCATTCACATTCCATACCAGTAAGTGTTAATCTAGGAATGTACAGGGATTCAGTCCTCCTGAAGCAAGTGTTTGGGCTTCAGACTCAGTCTACCATCTACTGCCCTGAGGCTGTGGGAAGTGCTCTCCCAAAGCTCAAACTACAGGATTCATTTGGTGGTGTCAGGACCTAAACTGTAATGACACCAACTTAAGAGTTTATGTTACCGGCCGGGCAGTGGTGGCGCACGCCTTTAATCCCAGCACTTGGGAGGCAGAGGTAGGCGGATTTCTGAGTTCGAGGCCAGCCTGGTCTACAGAGTGTTTTCCAGGACAGCCCGGGCTACACAGAGAAACCCTGTCTCTAAAAACCAAAAAAAAAAAAAAAAAAAAAAATGAGTTTATGTTACCTCCTCCCTCACATGTTTTTAAAAACAAAAACCTAAGGAAGGGTACAGTTCTTCATAGCCAGGTCTTTACTAAGGTGACGGTGCAGACTGCCAGGATGACAGCCACTCATGAGTGGGGGAATTGGAACTGGAACACAGTCTGCTCAAGTCTCCTCCCAGAAAAGGCCATACCTAATTGCCTGTATACAACAGGTCAGTGGTTTTTGCCTAGAAAAGCTCAGAGGTCAACATTACTCCTGAAGACTTTATTAGAATCCTATTTTGATTATAACCATCTCACAGAGCTATTTTAGCAATTTTTTTTCTTGGTTCTGGGAATGGAACCCAGGACATCATACCTGCTCCCACTGTTACATTCCCAGCCTGCTGAGTTATCTAAAAAATGTGGCAGGATTCCTGGTCTCCCTCATAGATTCACGTGGCTTTCAGGGGCAAGGTGGGACAATGCTCATTTCTGATAAGATGGGTGTAAGGGTCCAGACCAGCAACGCCATCAAAGTCCATGAGGGAGCAGTAAGCACAATGTGCCTGGAGTGTAGTCCTTGAGAACATTCCTTGGGTACACATTAACTTATTACATCGATCCTGATTACAAACAAACTTTGCCCCATCTCAGCTGGCAACCATGAGAAAGGCAGATAGGTGTCAGTCTATAAAAGGAAACGGGAACTGCCCCCTGGCTTTCAGGCTCCAACATCTTCCTTTTGCCAAGATGCTACCGCTAAAACTCTTTGCAGTGCTCCTGACTTGCCTGCTGCTGCTGGGCCAGGTAAGAAAGGAAACATAGTTGGACATAGTAGTGGCGTGGAATTCAAAGTCAGACTCAGGTCTTTAGAAGTACAGTTCAATCTCCTGCAACCTGGAAAGAGCCCTTCTTCTAAGGGTGTGCAACAGAGGGTGGGTGCTTCCTCAGCTAAAATGAATATGCCTTTGCTCTACAGGTCAATAGCTCCCCAGTACCAGAACTGAGTTCAGCAAAGAGATCCCGGAGAATGACCCCATTTTGGAGAGGGGTTTCCCTCAGGCCCATTGGTGCCTCATGCCGGGATGATTCGGAGTGTATCACAAGACTATGCAGGTATTTGATAATCCTGGGTACAGGGTGGACCAGAGAGCACTGGGAAGCTGGGAGAGATGAGATCAGAAAACAGAGACCCAAGGGTAAGGTTGAGATAAAAGAGTGGTGGGGGGGGGGCAGGGGAGGATATATGAAGCTGCAAGCTCCATGGAGGTTAAGTTCCTTGACAGCCAGGAATCCTAACACTGGACAGATGAAACAAGGAATGGTGGGGGAAACAGAGGTGTCTCGGGACTCCTTAGGTCTACATCCAGTCTTAACCACGTCTTTTCTCCCCCCCCCCCCAATAGAAAAAGACGATGTTCCCTAAATGTGGCCCAGGAGTGATGTTCGTCCTGGGGAAGAGTCACCTCCAACAGTGCTCCGTTCTATGGAATGTTGTTAGCCACATTTTTGTTGGAGAGACCTAAGTGAAGCAATCTTGTGTTTTTAATATTTAAAGACAGATACTTGCTTTAAACTGGTCTCCATTTCTTATTAGAATGTTGTTGATGTGTACATAGACGTAACTTTGTCAGAGTTTATTTTTCTATAAATACTATTAAATGTCTCTGTTCTAAGTTCTGGCAGTCTGAAAATGACACTTGACTAACTTCATACATGATAGGGAACAGTGGTCGCTCCCTAACCAGTGGTGCTGTCCCACCTGGGAGTGTGGTGGTCACCCACTCTTCAAAGACTCTCATGTGAGCAGGATAGAGGGGGTGCAAAAGCTTAACAGTAGCCAGGCTTGGCAAAGCAGAGGTTGTGGTTCTTTACTCTGCAAAGAACTCTTTGGGCTGGTATGTGCCACCTGAGGATGTGTAAAAGTTTGTCTATAACTTTATGAACATGAAACAGAACACTCCCCGAAAAAGGTCTGACTTAATAAGCATGGTGGCACATGCCTTTAATCCCAGTACCAGAGAGGTGGAGGCAAAGGCAGGAAGATCTCCGTAGGTTCAAGGACAGCCAGGTGTATACAGTGAGTTGCAGGTTAGCCAGGGCTACACAAAGAAACCCTGTCTCAGAAAAATACAAAACTCACCAATAAATAAATAGTAAAAATAAATAATAGTTCTGTCTTAAGAGCATCAAGGGGGCTGGAGAGATGGTTCAGCGGTTAAGAGCACTGACTGCTCTTCCAGAGGTCCTGAGTTCAATTCCCAGCAACCACATGGTGGCTCACAACCATCTGTGATGGGATCTGATGCCCTCTTCTGATGTGTCTCAAGAGAGCGATGGTGTACTCATATACATAACATAAATCTTAAAAAAAAAAAAAAAAAAAGAGCTTCAAGAAAGGATTGAAGATGTCTGTTGGTGCAGGACAACTGAGATTCATGGACACAGATCCATGGCCATGCGCCCAAAATGTTTTTAAAAATTTACTTTATGTGTATTGGTGTTTTTCCTGTATTTATGTCTGTGTAAAGGTGTTGGATCCCCAGGAACTGTAGTCACTGACAGCTGTGAGCTACCACGTAAATGTTGAGACTTGAACCTGGGTCCTCTGGAAGAGCAGGCAGTGCCTTTAACTTGTAAGCCATCTCTCCAGTCCTGAGTCCAAAGTTTCTGTAACCAAAAACCGAGACCTGTGCTAGCGGGACCAGACCCTTGCAGAGTCAGACTGGACCTTAAGACATAAAGCAACTACACAAAAGCTCACGGTAGGAGCTGAAGAAGCGGGAGCACAGCGCTTGTAAACGTTATACAGAAAAGCTAGCTGATATTTATTAAACTTAGTTTCTCCAGCTATGGTTTGGCATTATACAAAGCATTGTAATGACACAGTAGAGTTAAAAAGAGTTTTACAAATTGAAATGTGATACCCTTGTCTCCAAATATTTTAATTGCCATAAATTTGTTTAAAAATACACATTAAACGCATGTTTGACACTCTAAACTTTCTATAATCTCAATACCACAAAATACATATAATATACTATACAGATGTGGAAAATCTAGTTAGTATATAATACTTTGCTCACCATTAACAGCTTATTATGTGAAATGCACATACTGACTTAGAAATCCTAGCTTTTGAGCCCCAAAGTACCTCTGAAATTTAACATATTGCAACAAATAAAAATCACAGTATATAATTGAAATTTTGGTTGAAAGTGTCAGATGTCTAGATATTTTGGATAAAAGAAACATAAGACAAAGATTGGATCATGTCCAAGATAAAGGCCTCTCTCCTATGAGCAACAGCGCCTTTCAGAAGAGTCACCAGGCCTGTACTTTATCAACCATGTTACTTCCTCTCCAAAACCCTCCCCAAATATTAAACTGTTATTTACCAAATGATTTTAATTTCAAATAAAAAGATCTTCAATAAATATATAAGCATTTCCATCCTCCATATATAAAATTTCTCAGAATCATTCAAAACGGAGGCTAGGTAGAAATTTCCCTAACTGTGCTTACCAACCTAGTGTCTGGCCCTCAAGTGAGGCCTTTGCAGGCCCTGGCAATTGAGCCAGCGCTGTTGGCTAGCCCCACCCCTACCCTCACCTACGTACTGTCGATTGCTCATGTCAGTAATGTGCCAGGTGTGAGCATAATGGGGACACCTCTGAATCAGCAACAAGCTCAACTGTCTGGACACCGTGGCATTGGTTTGAAAGGCAGCACTTCCAAATTGACATCTTCCAGGGAGGTACAGAACAGGCAGAAAACCCCAGTGGCTAAAAGCTGAGAAGAAACCTAACACAGAAGCAGCACAGTCAAAACCAAGTATTAGGATTTCTGGGTGGGAGCTTGTCCAAGCTCATCTGAGAGCTTTCTCCATGTTTAAGAAGGATGACTTCTGCTGAGCTGATCAATGGCAGCAAGGAGAGAGGCGCATGCAGACATTCCTGAAAATCAACTTCTTAAATATTAGCAATTTAAGCTGCTGAAACCTCTGACTAGTTGAGACTTCACCTGAACACCTTGTTCTAAATACCATTTACAAGAGAAGTGTAGCTTCTTTTCTATCCCTTGGCTCTGGAAACAGCAAGTTCTTTTTAATTAACCATGGGGTTCTTGTAAACAGGAGTTCTGCAGATCAGCATCCTCTTACTCCACTTTCTTTTCTCCCAGGCTCTCTCTGTGTAGTGCATGCTGGTCTCAGACTAGCTAGAATTAAAGCTAGCACTACTACACTGGTTCACCAAGGAACTTTTAAATGTCTCTAATTTTTGGAGTGGGTCTCGGGATCTCCAGCTCTCTATCTAGCAAAGGATGACCTTTGCCTCAGGGGATGCACCAGCACTCCTGGCCTTCTCTAACCTTAAGAATGTGTTACTTGCTGGCTTGGTTTTAGGGTCTGAAAAGTTGCAGCTGAATGCCTCCACTGGAAGGCATGGGAAAGGTACATTTACAAATGTGACAGCTGGCCAAGTCAGTGTATTTTCCCAGACCTTCATCAGTATTTTTTCTACTGATTTTACTCATAGCAACACTAGGTGTACAATATCACTGGAAAAGAAGTCTGCCTTTCTAACTGAAATGTGAAGCTGGATGGGATTGTGTTCCATATCCTAGAGGAACATGAGTTACAGGAGTCTGGATTTGAACAAGGTGCTCTGGCTTTCCAAGTCACTTAGGTAAAGTCTAAACACCATTACACCCGCCTAAAACAGTCATCCTTAGTAGATGTCCTTGGGATCCAGACACCTACAGACTCCTATAAATCAAAATATACAATGAAGCCATTTTGTTCAATTAGCTATTGGAAAATTAAAATCTTTCCCACCCTGTAAGAGCCCTATTATACTACAGAAGGGCTCAAATATATTTCAAAAGTTAATTTACTACAAATCATAGTAATTAAGCTTTAACAATCTAAAGGAATACACATCGCATCCTTGAATGTTAATATTCAAGGTGCCAAGAACAAAGTGTCTTAGATCAATTTAATAAATAATGTGGAAATAGTTGCACTAAGCTAAAATACTAAACACACACATTTTTGACAAACTAATTCCATGTTTTCATACATACATACATATATATATATAAAGTGTGTATGTGTACATAATTTTAAGATCCAAAGTCGCATACCCTCATACCTAGAAGAGTGTACAGCATCCCCCTTCTCAACTGAGCTAGGCATCACCCAATGGAGCTATTACTGTTGCACTAAAAACTCCTCTGAGCACCAGCCCCAGGCAGTGCTTGTATTCCTGACAAAAGCTTTTGTATAGGCCCTGGCTACACAATGCAAGCTCATTCATTAAATGGCAACGTACCAAAGTTTCAGCTGTTAAATACAAATGGTGCTTTCTAATCTAGCTGATTAAACCTTTAATGAAAAGAAATGAAGAACAATTTTAAAACAAAAGAACAAGAGCTACTCTAAAGCCACAAGTGTGTCATTCAAAGTGCAACCCAGATGCCTATAAATCTCTAGTGCAAGAGCTTCCCAGAAAAACAGCAACTGTAGACGCGTGCACACATTACTCTGAATTGCTTTTATATTAGAGAATTAAATCAGTAGAGATCAATCTTCTCTCTTCAGCAGCTATATCTGTGACTTTATTTGAAGCACTTACCGATAACAAAGTGACTTCATAGCTTCTTGCCCAGAAAAAGGTGTCACTGAGCAAGGAAAGGGCTGGGTGCTCTCCAGCCAGAATGGGACATGGGCTAGGCTATGTAATCTTGAATGCCTGGAGAGGAGTGCTCCCCACAGCCCAGCCTCTCACAGGCAGGACTACTGTGACAGCTGCATCACTGCGGTTGTGTGAGGTGCCTGTGCAGAGTCCAATGGTGCATGCTGCTGCCTCCTGGCATAGCAATGTGATCTTAAGAGCAGTGAACTGAGCATTAACAGTAGTTGCTATTTCTATTACTAACTATATAGTGAATACAAGTTTTAGACTAGGTTTGTAGCCACTTGTCAAATCAGCTTTAAATGGCTAAAAAACACTGAGGGCACCTACTGAGAAGGGAGGGATGGTCATTTGTAAAGGAGTCCAAAGTATGTGCTGGACATGACTGAGACAAAACATCTAAGAAGAGACACATGACATCAAAAATGCAATCGCTTAGGATCGGACTTTGATCCCTTGCCCATTTCTACCTGGTGAGGAAAATCCTCCACAATGAAAGGTTTAACAGTTTCATTCTCCAAGAATTGACAGTTTTAAAGGAAAAACATCTTAAAGCAGCACCATAAACACGGAGGAAACTCTGCTTTAGCATGACGTTAGTTGCTCTAGAGTGTGCTGCACACAGACCAGAGCTGGAAAGCAGAGCCCCAGCCCTGCGGCTGCTCAGGGCTGAAAGCATAGAAGGAGGGTGCTTTTTCTACTGCTAAGGCCTCCCTGAAGTGAAGGAGCCAGAGTGAGAGAGGAGCAAGGACAGGACGCACAGTCCACGGAGGTCACTAGCACGAGAGAGAAAACGATGGCCTCTGAAGAATTCTTCCTTAAGTACACTACGATTAAACTAGAAAGGTACAGAGGCAATTTCTCCAAGGGAAAAATGTTAAATTCAGCATAAGCTCTAGGTATCAACCTTCAACACTATGTAAAAATAATGAGACACAAAGCAGTTAAGCTCTGTAGATATGAGACTGCAGGACAAAGTTCACTAATCTTCAGAAACAGGTGGTGAAGGAGGGTCGGAGAGGATTCGCGACACCACTGCAGTCAAGATCTCTGTCCGTCTTCCCCTGTCCATTCAAGTTTGAACAATCATCTGCTAATAATAGGGGATTTTTCTCCCTAATTGGATGGATTTTTGGAATGAGAAGGAAAAGTCATTTTTTGAAGCAGCATTATACCCAATTGATTACACTAAGTCAGGTACCAAAGTATTAGCTTTTCTGAAGGAATCTATCTTAATGTGACTCTAAAGGAAAATTTAAAATCAAAGAGAAATTGAAATTATTATTGTAGAGGACCAACCATGAATGGCTAATCTGGTCCCAGCATAAAACTTTATCTGTAAACAATCCATAGAGTTATCATTTAAAGTTAAGATTTAAGGCACACCAGACATGACGGGGTCACTAAAAAGAAGTATAGAGGAAGAGAGACATTCCTCGCCCTTCACTGCTATACGCACCTTGTCGGTCGGGAACAGTAGTTTGATAAGGAATTGTTACAGAGCTGGCTTCCTAAGCACTACCCCTATTATTTCCCCCTTTCCAAGAAAGCTCACATTGAGCCAAGTTAGGTACTTTTCTAGTATAAATTTTCTTTCTATCTTCGATGTGACAAAGGATCATGTAGCTCAGGCTAGCCCCAAACTCACTGTCTAGCTTTATGTAGCTTGAGGATGATTCTGACCTCCTGACCCTCTTGTCATCACTCCCAAGTGCTGGGATTACAGATACACACAACCATGCCCAGCTGCTACTGTGAGTTTTCTGATCCTGTCAAAAGCATACATCATTGATGAGGATCTTTGGAAAGAGAAATTCATTATCTCCACATTAGGCATTGGGACACCTCCTTTCAAGATCCAGTTACTGGACTGTCATATCTGAGCATTACAGTCTCTCCACCATAGGGGAAATCCAGACTTTAACCTTCAAACATTATCAGTGAATACAGGCTGCAGCCTTCAGAAACTGGATCACTGTTTTTAGGAGTAACTTACTCTGTTTTCAATCAAGTGTCAAATGAGTGAAACAAAAAAGAATATAAGGTTTTAATAAACTCATAGTTTAAGATTGTCCTTTATGAAGCCATTCAGTATCATGTGCTTCCCCAGCAAATCTATCTGCTTTTTTGTAATGCATTAGATGCAATGTAGTCACCTTGTGATTGCTAGTGTTACTAACAGACATTCACAGTTTTGAAATAATGCATACCAAACCAGACCCACTCCATTCCTGCACCCATGTAGAATGCCATCTTCTCATGTTTAAATGACTTTTCACATGTGGAAGAGCATCCTTAATACCAAGCATAATCCTACAATAATAAGACTGTAGTAAGACTTAAAAGAACATAGGTGAGTAGCTGTAGAAAGAACAAGTCCTGTCTTGGACAAGCCAACTCTTATCTTAGAAGACATTAAGTAACACAGCTCCCAAAATATATAAATAAAATGCCTACATTAAATTTATGCTAAATATTCAACAGAATAAATTTATAGGCAGAAATACTAAGCTTTAAACAAGCTCCAATCTGGGAACTTGAAAAAAGGAAAATAAATAGAATTTTACTTGATTATTTATGAATTGCAACTGGAATTCCAATTACTAAAACCATCTTGCTGATGTACTGCAGGTTTAGAAGCATTTAAATACTTGTCACATTGGGAATATTGAAAGGGACAATTGATATGATAGCTTTGGGTTATAGAAACAACAACATAAACCAGAGAGGAGAAAACCATTCCTCATTCTTAGTGTCGACTAGGTGGTGTGTTATGGCAGTTTTCCTTTGTGATGTGACACAGTGTTGTGGAAAAAATCAGAGGCAACGAGAGTATGTTCAGTTCAAGATATCAGCTTGGCATCCTGCCGAAGCCAATGTAGTCCCTGCCGGGTGTAACGAGCCAGATCTGTCATGATGCTTGCATTAAAGATGAGAGGGCCCATCACTTTGTCCAGTTCAGCAAAGAATTCTAGAAAATTAAAAACATTCATTAAGTATCACACATTCTTCACTGATTTACCTATAAAACAGCAGGTCTCCCACACTAAAGGTCTCTACAGAGTCTCAGGTTCAGAAAGTAATACATTTTAAACAGAATGCATGGTAATGAATTCTAGGAGAATACCACTGATGAAAATGGTCAACTGTGCCAGGCAGTGGTGGTGCACACCTTTAATCCCAGCACTTGGGAGGCAGAGGCAGGCAGATTTCTGAGTTCGAGGCCAGCCTGGTCTACAAAGTGAGTTCCAGGACAGCCCGGGCTATACAGAGAAACCCTGTCTCAAAAAAACAAAAAAACAAAAAAAGAAAAAAAAGTAGTCAACTGCTATTACACATTAAAAAATGGCGTCTCATTGGTGCACGTGCAGTGCCCACTGGATTACTCAAAAGCACTCTCTACATGTTATTTTTGTGCAAGAAGTAAGTAGTAAGGCTGAAGAGAAAGCTCAGGGGTTAAGAGCACTGGTTGCTCTTCCAGGGGACCTGGGTTCAATTCCCAGCACCCACATGGTAGTTCACAACTGTCTGTAACTAACTCCAATTCCAGGAGATATGACACCCTCAGACAGGACATGCAGGCAAAAACACCAATGCACATAAAACAGAATAAATAATAATAAATAGAATATTGCTGCTGGTTTTTCTTCGCTCACTCCCTCCCTGAATAGAGTTTTACATAGCTCAGGCTGCCCTGAATTCCCAATGATAATCTCAAACTCTTGATCCTTACAGCTTCTGCTCCCAATTCCTGGAATTACAGGCAGATGAAGTGGAAGTTTCTGGTTGTATCATGTGATGCAGACTCACATGATGTTTGGAGATAACACTGTCAATAGACAATGATGGGGGAGCCTGCATAGCTAGCTGTGCAACTCTTTGTTGGTCTTTTGTCTTTGCTGATCTTCACTTCATTGAGAGAGGCACAACAGAGAACTCCTGGTCACTCCCACTGACTCGTGCTGATTTGGCAGAGGCCTGGCTGTTTCTGCTGGATCGTGCCAACACTGCTGTTTGGTGACACTTTTGAACTGGACTATTGGTATCTTGACACTACTGAACTGGGAGGCTGGTATCCCAACAACGGAGATTGGAATCGCCCCAAAGAATCACTTCCAAATAGGTTCCCATCCCCTTGTCCTATTTACCATTTTTTCTCCCCTACCTTTTTGGACAGTGGGCTAGAAGAGGGGTCAAATGTTTGAGAACCCTTATTAAAGAAGGTTTTGAAAAATCTAAGCCTACAGGCAGGCACTACTATGCCTGGCACATAATGAATTTTTTTCCTAATAATGGATCTAGGCAATAGTCATCACAGATGTCAAAAGTGTAAGTTAAAGTTTAAAAGGAAATGTTATATCATGTTCATCAAAGTGACACCACATAATAACCTATTGATGCCAAAAATTAAAAAAAAAATTTTTTTAAAGACGGAGCAATGTAGTTCAGACTTGTTTCCAACTTGCAATCCTTCAGAGACTATAGACCTACGTCACCATGATCAGTCTGATGATTATTTATTTATTTATTTACTTACTTACTTACTTACTTATTTGGTATTTTTGAGATAGGGTCTCTCTTGGCTATCCTGGAACTTGCTCTTAGACCAAGCTGGCCTTGACCTCAGAGATCTACCTGCCTTTGGCCTCCCAAGTACTGGTCTTGAACTCAAAGATTCACCTGCCTTTGGCTTTCCAAGTGCTGGGATTAAAGGCATGTGCCACCACCAACTGGCTTAGGTCTGATGAATCTTAATATCAATACAGGGTAAATACCTGTGGTGGTTTGAAAAAAATGGGTCCCATAAGTTCATCATGAATGAGTTAGGAGGTGTGGTCTTATTGGAGGAAGTCTATCTCTGTGGTCAGGCTTGGAGGTCTCAGAAGCCCAAGCCAGGCCTAGTGAGTGGCATCACTGTTTCTTTCTGCTGCCTAAAATGCCAGATGTAGAACTCTTAGCTACTTCTCCAACACCACGTCTGCCTGTGTGCCGCCATGCTTCCTGTCATGATAATTGACTAAACCTCTGAACTGTAAGCCAGTCCCAATCAAATGGTTTCATTAAGGGTTGCAGTGTCATGGTGTCTGTTCACAGCAACAGAACACTAACTCAATACATTAGGTAACTAGGTATAGTCTTATAAGATGCACCACCTAGAGCATTATATCTAAATACTAAACTTGAATCTAATCAATAGAAAGGAACTAAGAAAGATAAAATGACAAACATAATGGCAGCATGAGGAAGAAATGGTCATATGCAGAATGACACTGTCTATGATCCAATTTCTTCTCAACACCAATGGCATGGCCAAATAAGGGGGAGAGCCACTCAAGACACTTACATAATGCAGCATTTAGACCTTGCTTGGATATTACATAAAACAAATCCACTGCTATATACATATATACATACATATACATATACATATACATATACATATACATATACATATACATATATATATATATTGGTTTTTCGAGACAGGGTTTCTCTGTGTAGCCCTGTCTGTCTGTCCTGGAACCCAGGCTGGCCTCAAACTCAGAAATCCGCCTGCCTCTGCCTCCCAAGTGCTGGGATTAAAGGCATGCGCCACCACTGCCCAGCTCCACTGCTATATTTTTAATGGTTCTCTTTCTTACATTTATTTGTCTGTGGATGTGTCAGTGTACTTGTGTTGAGTCAGAAGAGAACTCTGTGGTGTCTCTTTCCACCTTTCACCAAGTAGGTTCTGGGGCTTGAACTCAGGCTTCAGGGTAAGCACCTTTATCTACTGAGCCATCCTGCAGGTGCAACTGCTATACTGTTTAAGGTACACTTGAGACTACAGGGGAAGGTTGATGGTAGACAAGGTACTGCCTCTGAGCTACATTCAACACGTCGGAATAGAGAGATAACTGTCTTACACCAAGAACTACTTCTAGTTTAGCTGGTGTCACTAGTACTACAAAAGCTGTTTGTCTTTGTCTGTTCCCCCACATCAGTCCATCTGTTCCCCATCCTTCACATTAGGGGCCAAACCCAGGGCCTTATGCATGCTGGGAAAGTAATCTAACAAAGAGCCATGCATAGCCTGAGGGTATTTTAGCCACATCTAGTCACATGTAGTATGTGAGGCAAATATGTAGTATGTAAGCAAAGGAGGTTATTAGCAAATTGACTATGAGTCTCTTTAAACCACAAAATAAAGTAAATGGTCTCCACATTCTTAAGTAAATCACAAACATTTCTTTTAACTATTCTATCATCAAAGTTTATCAAGTGCCAACAAACCTTTCTGTTCTTTGGAAAGCTGTTCAGCTTGGTCCCAAATTTCTGTGGCATAGAGGAAGTTGGATGTAACCTGGACATAGCTTGCTGCCATCTGGTGGATTTTCTGTGGAATGGTCACCGAAGAACCACTTGCTGAAGCACTACTTCCCCCAGAAGAGTAACTTCCAGAATTGCCTGGTGACAGCTTTGGAGAAACAGGAGAGGGCATCCCAACAGCTTTGCTACACACATACACACACATACAAAAAAAAAACAAAAAAAACAAAAAAAAAAACAAAAAACAAAAAAAAACCAGGATGGTTATTCATATATACATAATGAATACTATGAAATCAACGGGGTAGGGGGAGGAGGCTGTCTCAGAAGAACAAATTAAGAAGGACACAGCTCAGTGGGAGAGCACTTGTTAGCATGCAAAAGGCTCTGGGTTTTACATCAGCCCTGGGGATGGGTAGACAAGGGAAAATAAGATGGAAATGTCAACATTAACACAAAGACTCCATAGATAGACTTAGAAAATGAAAAAGAAAATGTAAAAGTTTGCAGGGTGTTTGTTCCCCTTTCGGGTGTAGGTGGAAATGGAAGAGAAATCAAGACCAAGCCACTGTACTCTAGCAATGCAAAGACCTAAGTGACATTAAAATCACTGTAACAAATCTAAATAACTATGAAAATCAACCTGAGAAGACTAGAGGTACTGATAAAAACTTATCTGGGGGCTAGAGAAATGGCTGAGGGTAAGGGTACTTGCCACCAAGCCTGACAACATAAGAACATCTATGAACCTATATGGTAAGGAAGGGGAAACAAAACCAAACCAAAAGCCAACTCAGATGTCTGAGCTGGTGACATGTCTCATTCCTAACCTTTCTAAAACTTTTTATATTTAAATTGGAAAGAATTATTTAAAAAATACTTTTCTGGAGGCAAAACACAGTAGAAAAGCATGTAAAAGGCCCTGGGTTCAATTCCAAAATCAAAAAATAAAATTCAAAACACCTTACTAGAGATTGTAATACTTTAAAAGTCGTAACCATTTTGCTGTCCATTTCTACTCTGATCCACAAATAAATTAATCAGAAATATTTCAGAGAACAAAATAGTACCTACCTCCCCAAGCCAGGTGAAGGTGCTTGAGAATTACTGTAAGAATTCTGCATGGAAAAAAATAAATTTATTTAACAGCAATATATATATATATAACTTTTAAAGCGTTCAATATCTTCCAAAGTGTTGGGCTAGGGTTGATCTTGAGAACTTTACAAAACTGGCTCCATAGTGAGTTTGAGGTCAGCTCAGACTAGATGAGACACTATCACAGAAAAGTAACATGACACTAGAATTGGCTCAGTGGTTAAGAGCAACTGTTGCTCGTCTAGAGAACCTGGCTTTGGATCTCAGCCCCCAAGCTGGGCAGCTGACTTTACTCCAAGTGATCTGGGTCTTCCCTCTGGCCTCTGAGAAAACACACACACACACACACATACACCCCTTTAAATGTTCTAGTATTTTTTTTAATGTATAGGTGTTTTTGCCTACACGTATATCTGTGCGTCACATGCAGTCCTGATGCCACTAGAAGGCAGAGGATGTCAGATCCTATGGAACACAGGGAGTTGTAAGTGGTCATGTGAATGCTGGGAATTGAATCTGGTTTTTTAGAATAGCAGACAGTACTCTTAAACTCCAAAAAATCTTTAAAAACAACAACACAGAATGTGTGACTGCACAACAGAGAGAATTTACTAAGTGAAAAGCTAGGTTGTTCTAGAAGACTTCAAAGACGATGCAAAGAAACTACAAGTAGGCGGGCTTGGTGGTGCATGCCTTTAATCACAGCACTGAGAAGACAGAGGCAGGTAGGTCTCTGTGAGCTCAAGGCTAGCCCAGTCTACAAAGAAAGTCCAGGACAGCCATGACTATTACACAGAGAAACCCTGTCTTGAAAAACTGGGGGCGGAGGAAGCTCATCAGCAGGGCCACTCGCTGAGTACTCATCACTTTTTGGCCCCTGGCAAGGTCTGAGACTGAGGCCTCCCACGGCCCTAACCGTGCTCTCCCCAAGCAGGGAGGTGAGTTCCCTGAGAGCAGGGGCTCCATGCGTGGGCAGACTGGGCAGGAAAAATTGGGGGGTGGGGGGGAAGGGAGAAAAAAACAATGAATCACAGAGATAGATGAAAGGAAGAGGAAGCTGGGCGGTGGTGGCGCACGCCTTTAATCCCAGCACTTGGGAGGCAGAGGCAGGCGGATTTCTGAGTTCGAGGCCAGCCTGGTCTACAGAGTGAGTTCCAGGACAGCCAGAGCTACACAGAGAAACCCCGTCTCGAAAAAAAAAACACATGGAAACAAGTCATATTATATACAAAACCAGGCAGAAAAGAGAACACCCATGACTCATCTAGGTTGTATACAGAGGGGTTTAGACAAGGAATAAGAGATGCTTGAGGACCTGGTAGGCCAGATCTTGAGCCTACAGGCAACAGCGAGTTATGGAGGAGTTTTAAAGTCCTAACTACAACAGGATTTGGGAGAATTTATATGGTACTAGCTTGAAATTTAAAAACAAAAAGGAAGATATTTAGGGTACTACAATAACTTTGTCTGGGCTGGGTGTGTGGTTCAGTGGTTGGGCACTTGCTTAGAATGCACAAGCACTAGGTTAGATTCCTAGCAGTGTAAGGAACAAAACAAAACCAGGTAACAGTTTGAAGAAAGGTGGTAGTGAGCATTTTCCAGAATAGACATGGTTATTGTTTACAGCTATGAAAATTTTGTAATCCAATAGACACATTTGAAGCCTTTCCCAAGAAAGCACAAACATATCTGAGAATTCCAAGCAGTAGTTAGTTTGTTCCTCTCTTGTTATGTTGTGCCTAAATGTGAGAGTATCTATGGGACAGGGATGGGAAGGTTTGCAGATTTTGTCGGGTAGGCAATGGACTGTGTTATACATACTTACCTTCAGGTGTTCAGTCAGCGTCTTGGAGTACTTCAGAGCGTTCTCCTTCTTCAGTTTGAACAGCCTCAGGTACAACAATGACTGGCATCTCAGGCTAGGCAGTGGGAAAGGGCAGTGTATTTAGACATGTTACATCTACAAGCAGTCTTTCCATTGTGTAAGGATACAGAACTGGCTTTATGTGAGCAATCATGGCCCAGGGTCAATGTTACCTCTCAAGTAAAGCCAAGAGGTCAGCTTAATATGGAACACAACATAAAAGTAGCTAAGAAACTCCTAACATTCCATTATTACAGACATTCAAAATTAAGACTACACCAACATACCATAATTCAAATACGTTTTAAGAGTTAAAAAGTAAAAGTAGAAAACTGAACACTATGAGTGAGATGAAATACACTAACACTCACTCAGCTCATACAGTTCAGCCCACACAATTATTGTTTCTGCTCACACACCCAGTAAAGGCCACTTTAGGCCACTTTCCCATTCACTGGTCTTTCCTTTCCTTCCAAGTTTTCCATTCTTCCCCACAATCCTGCCCCTGCCTGCCACCTCCAGAGCAAGTCTTCAATCTCCCAACCATCTACTCTTACAGAGTAGAGATTCTTTACTTTTTGAGACAAGGTCTCTCTATTCTATCTTCCTAGAAATCCTAAAACTCTCCATATGTAAGCCAGGCTGACCCCGAACTCACAGAGACCCACCTGCCTCTATCTCCTGAGTACTGGGATTAAAAGTATGGGCCACCATGCCTGGCCTGGGTATTCTTTTTTTTCAAATAATTTGTTTACATATTCATGTGATTGATTAGATTCTGTCTCTTCTTACTGGAGTTTAGACTCCATAATGTACAGAGTAATGTCAAACAGTTCACAGGTACAGTTCTAGTGTAAACACAGTGCCTGGTCAAGTATGCAACTCGAATAAGTGAACAGATACTGCTCTGAAAAAAACCAAACGGGTGTGGTGGGTTGAATATGCTTGGTCTGCCGGGCGGTGGTGGTGCACGCCTTTAATCCCAGCACTTGGGAGGCAGAGGCAGGCAGATTTCTGAGTTCAAGAGTTCGAGGTCAGCCTGGTCTACAAAGTGAGTTCCAGGACAGCCAGGACTACACAGAGAAACCCTGTCTGGAAAAAAAAAGAATATGCTTGGCCCATGGGAAATGACACTATTAGGAGGTGTAGCCTTGTTGGGAGGAAGTGTGTCATGTTTGGGGTGGGCTTTGAGGATTTATGCTCAAGCTCTGCCCAGTGTGGGAAGAGTCTCCTTCTGTATGCCTTCTGACCAAGAACTAGATATAGAACCCTCAGCTCCCTCTCCAGCACCATGCCTGCCTGTTTGCTGCCATGCTTCCTGCTATGATGATAATAGACTAAACCTCTGAAACTGTAAGCCAGCCCCAAATAAATGTCTTCCTTTATATGAGTCGTCTTGGTCATGGTGTCTCTTCAGAGCAATAAAAACCTTAACTAAGACAAGGGGCATGTATAGAAAGAAGAGCTTTAAAAAGTGGTCACTTAATTCAATGCAGGGTTCTAGCATTGGTCCTACTCCTGCACTTTCATCAAGAGAGCAGTGGATTAGAGACAGGAGCTAAAACCTTTCAGTAGGGGTTTGAGCTCTTTCCTGTTTGACTGTTAAGGTTTATGAAGGGGTTGTGGAAGACTGATTCAAGGATACTATTCATAAAAGCACACACAGTATAATTCATCAAGGAATTGCCTGTCTCCCAGCAAAGGCTAGAAGACAAAACACTTACCAAAGTACTGTGAGTCTCTTGTCTGCAGCTGTAGCATCTGGTGCCAAATAATTTTTTAGTTTCATAGTGTATCTATGAGTTGAGATAAAAAACAAACCAAGTAGAACAGAATATTTCACCTTGATCTTAGAACTTATGTTCTCAAAATATCAAAATCAACCCTAAATAAAACACCCACTGAAATCTTCCTAAGGAAAACGGAACACTAAGTATCTTCCTAGATCACCATATTATGTTACTCAAATAACTAAGTAACAATAATAAATGATAAAGATATTCCAATCAAACGTCAAGTTCCCCACTTACTTAATGAGCTCCACCGTGTCTGAGTACATAGGGAATGGGGACTTGGATTCCTGAGCGTTCTTCTCTAATGCATTCCCACACTCAATAAAAGACACCACAGCATCAAGGTAGTACACAGCCTTCTCAAACCTATCAGACTAAAGGAAAACAGCGCTGATTAATGACCTACTGCAAATACAGACAACTGAAGGGAAGACAAGTTAAAACTTGAATATTAGCTTGACGAAGCACATCAGGAAGAATATGTACATACCAAAGCATCTGCATTGTGTTTGAGTTTTTTTGCTTCTTGTAAATAATGGTCTGCTGAATAATTTCTGCAAAATAAATTTTTTATAAATAAAAATGGTCAACATTTCCTAAGAAAATTACTAAGTTGTTTTAGTCTTTACTATCTTACAGCTTCCACATTCTCGAGAAGTGAATGATTACTAAACATTTTATAACAATAGTAAACTATTAACAAACATCTTAATTTTCTGCCAAATGTATATAGATTAAGAACATAAATTATGGGCTACTATGGCAAATCTTCTACTCAAGTAGACATACAGATCAAGTTCCCTAGTATTAAACATTAGCTTACTCAAGTCTTTTTTGGTATGTTTTGTTTTAACCAAGAGTAAATAGGATACATGTAGGAGTACTACCTTCTAACAGAAGGCAAGAGAAAGTAACTGCTTATCTGAGAAGACCCCTGCTATTAGTAGTGGTACTGACAGCAGGAACAGCTCTAGGAAGAACATCCTTCCTGTCACTCTGAAGAGCCACTAGCTGTTAAAGGAGTAGCTGGACTAAAGATGCCTTTCATGTTAAAATCTGAATATTCCGTAGGTCATACACAAGTATTAATCATATAGGACCTGACATAGTTAAGTGAGTTTATTATGTGCTGACTGGAATTTCTAAAATGAATACATGAAAGTATATTTACCTCTTTACAGCTGGCATGGTGGTACTACACGCCTTTAATCCAAACACTCAGGAGGCTGAAGCAGGCCAACCTCTAAGAGTGTGAAGCCAGCCTGGTCACTGAGCTCCAGGCTAGCTCCAGAATTTTCTACATAGAAAATTCTGTCTCAAAAAAACAAAAAAACAAAACCCACAAAATTGATCTCACCTGTCATCAAAGGCAAGCTTTGTTCTCCGAGGCTTCGAGGAATCAGGAGTTGGTGTGGACGGAGGACAATTAGAGGAGCTATTTGGAGCCTTCTCCTGACCAAAAGAATAGACACAGCTAAGTTGAAAATTGTCAGGAGATTAAAAATGAAGCTAATCTCACTTTTAGCCACTGCTAAGACAGAAACAAACTTCCATAGTCTTCAAATGTCTTTGTTTTAAATTTTATACTGCTTCTACCCAACAGAAGACTTTTTTTCTTCTTCTTTATTTCCTCCAACAGAAGACTGAGTTCAGCCGGGCGGTGGTGGTGCACACCTTTAATCCCAGCACTTGGGAGGCAGAGGAAGGCAGATTTCTGAGTTTGAGGCCAGCCTGGCCTACAGAGTGAGTTCCAGGACAGCTAGGACTACACAGAGAAACCTTGTCTCGAAAAACCAAACCAAAAAAAAAAATAAAAAAAAAAAAGGATTGAGTACATTTTATATAACCAAATAGACTGGGTCCATTTTATATACCAAAATATTTATTTTTGTACATATTAAGAGTCTACTTTGTGCAAGGCATTTAAGCTAGGAGAGGGCTCAGCAGTTAAGAGCACTGGTTGCTTTTGCAGAGTACCTGAGTTTGGTCCCAAGCACCCAAAACATGTCTCACAACCACCTGTAACTCTAGCTCAAGGGATCCAATACCCTTTTCTGACCTCTGGCACCAGCCACACAAGTGGTACATATCACACATACACAAATGCAAAACACTCATACATAAAAAACAAAAACAAAAAACTTAAAAACTAAAAGAATGAGATAAAGTTCAGAAGGAAGCAATACCAAAGGCCCTCCTCCCTTGGCCTCTGCATACATGCATGGGCACACAACTGGGGACGTGTTGCGTGGTGCTGTATCGGAAGCGCCTGAACACATGCACACGCACACACAGAAAGAAGTAAAGGGTAGTATCACAGTACCACTCACGAAAAAAGATCCTAGGTGTGGTGGCACATGCCTTTAATTCTAACACTCAATTGAACTGTAAGTTCAAAAACAGCCTGGTCTATGCAGTAAGTTCTGGACTACATAGTGAGATCCTATCTCAAAAACAAACAAACAAACAAACAAACAAAAGAAAAACAAAAAGAAGTTCACCACTAAAGCCTAAGTTAACTATTTAGTATGGTTGTTAGTTCTTCAACTACCTTCTGAAGTAAGTGTTAGAATTAGATAGGGTTTTTTTATTTATTTTTTTTCTTCTTCTTCGAGACAGGGTTTCTCTGTGTAGCCCTGGCTGTCCTGGAACTCACTCTGTAGACCAGGCTAGCCTCAAACTCTCGAACTCAGAAATCCGCCTGCCTCTGCCTCCCAAGTGCTGGGATTAAAGGCGTGTGCCACCACCGCCCAGCTTAGATAGGTTTTATTATTGTTTTAAGGTAGTCTAAGGGGCTGGAAAGATGGTTCAGTGAATGAGAGCACTTCTTGCTCGTCCAGGAAACGTGAGTTTGATCCAGTGGCTCATAACTGCTATATAACTGCAGCTCCTGATGAGCATGTGAGCTCAGACATGAGCATGAAAGCCTCCAATTTTGTATCAAAAAGTTTCAAAATGGCAGAAGAGCCAGTAAGCCTGTAAGAAGAGGAGCAGTGAAGATGGGCAACCAAACACTGTCCCTGTGATGCTGGGCAAGCTCCCCAAGTTCCCAAAGACATAGGCTGCTTGTTTGGAGGGAAATCTATCTGTACAACTCAGCTTGAAAAGCTTGTAATTTTACTTACTTAAGCTTAAAATCTTTAACTACCACATTTAATAGGCTGTAACAGCATGTAGCAGTTTAGAATATTCATTTTCCAAACTTTTGTTTACTTAATAATCTTGTGAATTTTATAGACACATGATTATATTATATATATATGTATATAAATAAATATAAATAAATAACATATATATGTGTGTGTGTGTGTTATTTTAGACAGACTTTCTCTGTGTAGCCCTGACTGTCTGACTATTCTAGAACTCACTCTATAGACCAAGCTGCCCTTGAACTCAAGAGATCCTCCTGACTCTGCCTCCCAAGGGCTGGGATTAAAGGTATATACCACCGCCACCACCCTGGACTATATTCTTAAAAACTTAAATATATTCTTAATTGTTACTTAACTACTGTCATGGACTTGCTCTGACATGAACAGTTTAGGAAGTGTATGAATGCTGGGCAGTGATGGCCCACGCCTTTAATCCCAGCACTTGGGAGTCAGAGGCAGGCAGATTTCTGAGTTCGAGAGTTCGAGGCTCCCCTGGTCTACAGAGTGAGTTTCAGGACAGCCAGGACTACACAGAGAAACCCTGTCTCGAAAAACAAACAAAACAACAACAACAACAACAACAACAAACAAAAAAAAAAGAAAGTGTATGAACGACCTAGTCACTTGGGAGGCTGGGTCAGGTGGGTCAAATGGGTCAGGTTTTTATTTCATGTGCAAGTTAGGCTTCATAGTGAGATCCTGTCTTAAAGAAAAAAAACAAAAAACAAAAAATCAAACAATTGCCAGGCAGTGGTGGTGCATACCTTAAATCTCAGCACTCAGGAGGCAGAGAGAGATAGATCTCTGTGAGTTTGAGGCTGGACTGGTCTACAAAGCAGGTTCCAGGCCAGCCAAGGCTACATAGAGACACTCTGTCTCAAACAAACAAACAAACAAACAAACAAACAAACAATAAAGCAGACCCTTGAAAAACCTTCTTAGACCCATATTTCAGTCTATAAACACCATGACTATTCAATTGTATTATTAGTATGTTAAGAGCAACCATTTGAAAGCACACACTTTTAGTCCAAACACTCAAGAGGCAGAGGCAAATGGATCTCTGTGAGTTCCAGGCCAGCCAAAGTTACACAGTGAGACTCTACCTAAAAAAAAAAAAAAAGCCAGATGTGGTGCCAAAATCTCCAGCCTCACCTCTCCTATAGAGGAAATCACAGCTAACCCAGGGTATACAGCAGCAGCAGCAGTAGGGAGATCCTACCCCAAGATCAAAGGTGAGAACTGACTCCTGAAAGTTGTCCTCTCAGACAGACAGACAGAGTCTCAGTTGTGTCCTCCCCCCCACCCCCATATTCATTTTAAAAACTGCACAGGCCTACAATCTTTTTTGTTTTGTTTTGTTTTTTTGTTTTTCGAGAGAGGGTTTCTCTGTGTAGCCCTGGCTGTCCTGGAACTCACTCTGTAGACCAGGCTGGCCTCGAACTCAGAAATCCACCTGTCTCTGCCTCCCAAGTGCTGGGACTAAAGGCGTTCGCAACCACCGCCCGGCTGCAGGCCTACAATCTTAATGAGCTGTTTACAAACAGCAGTGTCACCTCAGGAAGACATGAGGGTGATTTTCAAAGGCTCAAGCCCCAGCACCATACCTTGGCCTCTTTGGAGCTGCTGGGAACCTTCCCTTCAGTCTTCTTCTGTTTTGCCGTGGAGGAGCTGTTCTTGCTGCTGCCACTGTTCTCTTTGTTACTGGTACTGCTGGACTTTAAGGACGACGACTGACTCACAGTCCTTTTCCGAGAGCCATGCTCTGTTTTTGAATCTTTTGAAGGAACAGGCCCAGCAGGTGAAGGTAGCAAATCCTTTTCTTTTGTACTACTCTGCTTAGATGACCTGCTCAAAAAAAAAAAAAAAAAATACATATATATATATATTATATATATATGTATCTCCCAAGTGTTCTCATTTCTGCAGAGTGATAAAGGAGTAAAGGATTTTTCCATCTCTTTTTACCTTCTTTTAGGACAAATTTGAAAAGACATTCTCCATATGCTGATTACAAAACAAAAAGATGAAATTCCATCAAGTAGGAATTTATCTGTATTCTCTTTTCCACAATCATGCCCAGTGCCTAAAACAATCTGCCACAAAATAAACGCTTAATAAAATATTGGTTGAATCAATTGAGTAAATAGATAAATTGTGAAAATATTAATGCTTACAAGTTACTAGTCTCTTTCAAGTTGCAGATAAGCTACCCAGAAAATGGGGAAGCTTTACTGTAACTCTTTATCTCCTATTCTGTGCTGGCTAGTTTTATAACAACCTGACACAGGCTAGACTCATTTGAGAGATGAGAACCTCAAGTGAGAAAATGCTCCCATAAGACTGGGCTTGCAGGGAAGTCTGTAGAGCATTTTCTTAATTAGTGGTTGATATTGGAGAGGGCCCAACCCATTGTGGGTGGTGCCATCCCTGGTCTGGTGGCCCTGTGTTCTATAAGAAATCAGTCTGAGCAAGCCATGAGGACCAAGCCAGTAGCCACCATTCCTCTGTGGCCTCTGCATCAACTTCTACCTCCAGGTTCCTGTCTTGTTTGAGTCCCTATCCTGACTTCCTTCCATGATGAACAGTTGAAGTGATATGGAAGAATAAGCCAAATAAACCCTTTCCTCCCCAAGTTGCTTTTCATTGTGGTGTTTCATCACAGCCATAGAAATCCTAACTAGGAAATATTCTTATCTAACTAAAAAAAAAGAAGAGTAATAGCTTCCCATCTCTATTAGCTAAATGCACAGCTCTTACTACTGTCTATGTGTGCACACATATGTATGACATTCAGTCAACTAAAAAGAATACTCTGAAGCATTTCGAAGTACCAAACAACAAACGATAAACATAGCCAATATGGACATGCAACATGATTTGGAAACATACTCTCTGTTGCTGGATGGCTTGTGGCCTGATGAGTTCTTGTCCTCCATTTTGGGTTTTTTGCTCTCACTGGCTCGGTTATCATCATCATTCTGGACAAAAACAGAAGCAGGAGGTCGTAAGCTTGACAAGGGTGTCCTGTATTAGATCTGCAGAGTGGAACGATGTGGCTGGGAGCACTATAATACTTTTGTGGGGATATATATTTCTATTTCTTTCTTGGATATATTCCTAGGACTATAATTGGTGGATCATAAGGTAACTGTATATTCAGCTTTTTTGAGAAACTGCCAAACTGTAATCCAAAGCAACTGCATCTCACAGTTCTGCTAGCACTGCATAGAAGTTCCAACTCTGTAGTTTCATCAGCACTTGAACATATTGGTACTTGCTAACAGATAAGCCTCATTATCTCTGAAAAATTTCTTGGCTGAACTACAAGTGGCAAACCTATCTACACTGTTGATGCTATTTCCATAGGTGAATCTAAGTTTTCCTACTGCTTCAAGTAATAAGCAATAAGAATACAAACAAATATTCTACTTCTAACGTAACAGAAGAGTCTGTTTGCCATCAATGATTAAATTCAGATAAATGAAGACATGAGGAAAAGTCATCTACAGACTGCTACCTGTGACTAAGGGTCTCCTCCTAGTACTGCCAATGTAGTCTCCAAGAATTGGTACTTCACCAAAATTATAATTCTAGGGGAGGGCTGGAAAGATGTCTTAGTGGTTAAAAGCCACTGGCTGCTCTTGTAGAGAAAACTTCTAGGAGTTCTAAGCACTCACATGGCGGCTCACAACCATCTGTAACTCAAATTCCAGGGCATTCTTGATCTCTTGGCACAAGACGATGCACATACTTAGATGCAGGCTCTGTATAAAGCTGATCTGAAACAAAGCCATGTCTTTATCTTGGAAGTACTTAAGATGAGAGCAGGCTATGAACCCACAGACTTTTCCTTCCTGTTGGAACTGCATCCAGGGTTTTACACACGCTCAGCAAGAGCTCTACCACACACTTAGTTACACACTTAGCCCTGGGGAATGTTCTCAATTCTGACCCGTGTTAATGGAAAAAAGCTAGACACATAAGTAAATATTGGATGGGTAAAATTCTTATGGATGTATCTGTGAGTCAGCTGACCTGAGGCTAAGACAGAAAAGAATGCATGGATTACATTCAAACTCCACTTTTAACCTGGCCACCATACAGTCTGCTTGGAGATCCTATTTAAGAAGAAACTATCCTGCTTTTATTTAAGGAGACAGAACACTAAGAAAAACTGTTCCATATGTAGTCTCAATGGGGCCTTGTGCTCAATCACTATTTTCCCTTACAGCTTATGATCCACAAACTATATTTCTGTGGCATTTCAGATGCTGGTATCTAAAAATGAACCATAGGGACTGGCAAGATGTTTCAGTGGGTAAAGACTGGCAACCTGAGTTCAGTCCCTGGGATCCGCATGGCCATAAGTTCTTCTCTGGTTTCCAGTTATGCACTATAGTGTAAATGTGTGCACACACACACAAATCAATAAAATATAATTTAAAAGCAACAGTGACTATGTAATGTAAAGTCAAAATAGCAAGTACTTGGGGATAAGATGGCTCAGCAGTTAAGGATACTTGCTACTCTTCAAGCAGGATCAAAGTTAAGATACTAGTAACAATGTCAGGCAGCTCACAACTGGCTGTAACTGGCTCCAGGGAATTTGACATCCTCTACTGGCCTCCACAGGAGCATACAACAGTTTGAGTGCATATACAGACATAGATACACATAGACACAGACAAGTAAACAGACAACAGACAGACACATAAAACATATGCTCATAGACACATAATTAAAATTATTTTAAAAATAGCTAGTATTTTAATATTAAGATACTTTTTTTTTTTTGGTTTTTCGAGACAGGGTTTCTCTGTATAGTCCTGGCTGTCCTGGAACTCACTCTGTAGACCAGGCTGGCCTTGAACTCAGAAATCCACCTGCCTCTGCTCTGCCTCCCAAGTGCTGGGATTAAAGGTGTGCGCCACTACTGTCTGGCAATATTAAGATACTTAAGCACATGAAAAGTAGAAAAAAACATTTTTAAAAAGGAAAAAGAACCATCAGCCTGTTACAGACCTTGTGTTTCCTCTTGCCTTTGTTGGAAGCTTTTTCTGAGGCTTGCTTCTGCACCTCTCTCGAGTGTTTTTCTGGAACATTTTTCTTTTCCCCCTTGGGTGGCTCTGTTTCTTTGTAAGGCTTCCCAGGTATTCTAGTCAAAAGATTCAGGTCGATCTTCACAATAAGTGGATACCTGTCATCAGGCTCACTGAGTGGGGAAAGGAGCTCCTTCTCTTCCATAGGAGAGAACATGCGTTGCCGGAAAAAGCTATCTTCTTCCTCCACTGAGGAGGGTTTGACAGGAGTCCTATTGCTCTCAGGGTACTTAGGAGTCTGTGAGGAGGGAGGGAGACTCTCACTCTCATCTGAATCTGAGGATGAGGTATCTGTTTCTATGATTTCCCGAGATTTCTGGGAGGATTTACTTGCTGACTTGTATTTCTTTTTCTCTGCTGTAGGTCGAGGGGAAGATTTCGACTCCTTTTTAATGTTGGGTTTCCGTGAGCCCTTGGTGGCTGCTTTGTGCCTGCTGGAGGGCATGCTGGCAGCCATGTCCACAGGGGTCTCACTTTCTATCTTCAGGCCTCCGCGGGGCTCTTCAGCAGCTGTCTTCTCAGGTTTTTTGGGTTGTTTTTTGCCGACAGTTCTCCTCTGTGTGGTGCTGTCACTCTGTGCAGGAGACTTCTGCCTCCCACGGCCACTTTCTGATCCCTTTTGGATGGTTTTAGAGTCTCGACTTGGGGTGGCAGAGCTCGTTTCTTTCGGGCCCCCTGGATCCGTGTAGTTACTGGTCGTGCCCTGTTCCCGGCCTTCTTTCTTGTAGGCTTGAGATGATGGGATGTTGCTGTCTACGGAGGAAGCTGGGGATACTTTATGTGGGTTCACTTTGTTCAGCCAGTTATCAAGCTGCCACTTGTTTGTTGGTGGTGGTTCAGGCTGGAAATGAAAAGAAAACAGATAAATATATAGATGCAGGGTTTTCTCAATATTGAAGCTTTCCCCCTCTTTATAAAGTCAAATAAGAAGAAAAAGAAAAATGCTTAAAGTGACAAGCATTTGTTTGTCATGTTTCTGCCAGGATCAAAACACAGGTAAAATATTATTAGCTCTCTCTAGTCACTTGGCCTCCTGAGTGCTGGAGTATACAAGTAGAACCAACAAGAAGAGCTTATTACAAATGGCCTTTAAATAATCATTATTCCAGTTAGGAGTTCAACTTGATAGGCAGTATTGCAAATGACATAATTCTAGAAAGTAAACATATGATGTAGGTACTAGGAGAGACTTTCAGCTGCACTATATCAATCAATAGTACAATATGATATTCATTTTAGTCATAGTGAATATATAACATAAATCTCCTGTTAAAAAAGGCAAATCCTAATTTTAAAAACAAGTTTTTCAAAAATAAGTAAACCAAGAAAGTCTAAGTTTTCTATCAGACACATGGCTTGTGTCTCTTTGATGACACTCTGCAATGGCGACTGGAGTGGCTGTCAGGAGAGCTCGAGTACGAGGTGGCTCTCCATCCCTCTCACCTCAGGAGATGCGCTCTGGGATGGCTCATTCGCTTCACTGTCACTGGAGCTGCTTTCGCTCTCCGAGTCAGACCCAGAGCTGCTCTCAGATCCACTGTGGCTGCTCGAGTCGTCCCTGGAGTTATCTGCTCCCTCACTATTATGGTGTGAAGGCTCAGAGTTACTGAAGGAGATAAAACAGAAATGACAATATTAATGATGTGAGATAAGGAATCCAAAACTTCCTAATCAATGAAGTAGCTATCCCCCAAGTCTCTGGTGTACCACTCTGCTAATAATACTCACTTTTAACATTAAAATTCACCCAGTTTGAGTATATAATTTAATCAATTTTTGTTAATTTCCAGATTATACAACCACCATTATAACTGACATTATTTATAAGGCTGCTAATGATATACCACCACAATGATAAATCAGACTAACCTCAGCTACCAAACCAACAACAACAAAACCACAAAATAAAAGGATCCCCACCTTCCTGGTGTACTCCTTGGCATTGTCTTATCACAATCCTAAAAATGAAGCATAAGAAATTATAAGTGAATAATACTCTATTTAAATAATAGAAATGTCTGAACTAAAAAATAAAACCAAAAGCTGGCTTCTTTAACATATGAATTAATATTTACTTAATACAGTAATTAAAAAAAGAATTACAGTATACCACAGCACCCAGAAAGCAGAGGCAGCAGGATCATGGCTCTGAGGCTAGCCTGGGCCTTGGTGAAACTGCCCCAAAACAAAACTAAAAAGCAAAACGCCACAAACAGTAACAAGCCAGGACTCTGTTTTCACTTAAAGAAGTAGAGTTTGAAAAAAAAAAAAAAGAAGTAGAGTTTGCCTAGCTCAATGACCAGTAGCACTACTACCCCCCCCCCAAAAAAAAGTCTCTTAAAAAAAAAAATTGGTCGAGTGGTGGTGGCACACGCCTTTAATCCCAGCACTTGGGAGGCAGAGGCAGGCAGATTTCTGAGTTCGAAGCCAGCCTGGTCTACAGAGTGAGTTCCAGGACAGCCAGGGCTACACAGAGAAACACTGTCTCAAAACACCAAAAAAGAATTTCGGTTGGAGAGATTGGTTTATCAGTTAAGAGCAGAGGCTGCTCTTAAAGAGGATCCAGGTTCAATTCCCAACACCCACATAGTGCTCACATCCATCAGTAATTCCAGTTCCAGGGGACCCATGCATATTAACAAATGTTTTTTTTTAAAAAAACAATAACAACAACAACAAAACAAAAAAGCTGGGGCTGGAGAGATGGCAGAGCAGTTAAGAGCACTGACTGCTCTTCCAGAGGTCCTGAGTTCAATTCCCAGCAACTACATGGTAGCTCACAACCATCTGTAATGGGATCCAATGCCCTCTTCTGTTGTGTCTGAAGACAGCTACAGTGTACTTACATATAATACATACATACATACATACATACATACGTAATTTCTTATAAGTAATCTCCTGCTTCAAAAATATGTTTTGATCCACAATAAATGATAATGAAACATGTCAATTTAGAAGGAGGAGGAGGAGGAGGAGAAGCAGCAGCAGCTGCTACTCAAAGACATTACAGAATGCTTCAATCATTCAGTGTCAGAAAGCTTGTAAGGTACTAGATCCTAAACCAAGACACAATGAAACAATAACATAAAGGACTGACACACCTGCTCCCCATCGCTGTCCTCACTGCTGCTTAGTTTTAAGTCATCTTTTAACATACTAGAGGAAAAAGGCAGAAAGGAGCACTAATTAGTCACAGCAGGCCAGAGTCTTAAATATTTATCAATAACTCTAAGACTAATCATTGTGTTAGCCAAACATTTAATTGAAACACACATACACACACTCTCTCTGTTTGGAATTGTTCACATTATACTAAAACATTTTAAAGGAAATCAACCATTTTTATAAGCCTTAAACTTTCCATGTATTAAAAACAATTTTTTTTTAGGTCAGCCTAGTCTATAGAACTAGTTCTAGGACAGCCAAGCCTTACACAAGGAAAGCCTGTCTTGGGGGGGAAATTTTTATTTTATTTTATTTATTTATTTTTTTGGTTTGGTCTTTCGAGACAGGGTTTCTTTGTGTAGCCCTGGCTGTCCTGGAACTCACTCTGTAGACCAGGCTGGCCTCAAACTCAGAAATCTGCCTGCCTCTGCCTCCCAAGTGCTGGGATTAAAGGCGTGCACTACCACCGCCTGGCTCCAAAAATTATTATTATTTTTTTTTTTTGGTGGTTTACGCCTTTAATCCCAGCACTTGGGAGGCAGGAGGCAGAAAAAGTCGGATTTCTGATTTCAAGGCCAGCCTGGTCTACAGAGTGAGTTCCAGGACAGCCAGGTCTACACAGAGAAACCCTGTCTCAAAACAAAGAAAGACAACGAGAAGATACCATACTTGAACCTAAGGAAAAACTCTGCAGTTGGGTCCTTTATTTCTTTTATACACTAGGCCATGAATTCGTATGGAATGGGCTCCAGCAGCTCGGGCTCTTTCCCATTAGTCCTCACAAAGTGTGCTTCTCTGGGTGGTGCAGGCTGGCGCTTCAGCTGAACCCAGGTGCCCTTCTCTTTGGCTTCCTTTTTCTTCTGATCGTTCTCCTTCACCCGCTTCAGAAAGCTGTCTCTGCTCTTCGAGTGTTTAATGTGCTCAGTCCGCACATTGATCCTCTTGGCCAGAATCTTGCCCTTAAGTTGCTTGTTTACAGTGATGCCCACGGCATGCTGGGTGACACTGTAGACTCTTCCGGTTTTGCCGTGGTAACACTTATGGGGCATTCCTTTTTGAACAGTACCCATTCCCTTGATGTCTACAATATCACTCTTCTTATAGATTCACATGTATGTGGCCAAAGGAACAACTCCATGTTTCCTAAAAGGCCTAGAGAACATATACCGAGTGCCTCTCCTCTTTCCCTTTGTGTTGGTCATTTTGGCGAGTTAACTGGAAGATGGCTGCCTAGGCCGAAAGCCCAAAAATTATTTTTAAAGAAAACAGAATTTAGTGTTCTGCAAAGATAGCAGTAGGCATGGTAGGAACTGCTGGCTCCACAGGTAAGACATTCGATTTTGTTTTCAAGTTAAACTTATATACATTCCTGTTACAAAAATCTTGTCTCTAATTGTACACATATATGTTACTAGAGCTTTGGTCCACTAGATAAGACTTTAAAGAGAAGCAAGATAAAGTCAAAGCATCAAGCAATTCCTTCTTTGTCTCCAATAATCCAGAGAGAGAGAGACCTGAGTAACTTCTAAAGATTAGATAACTTTGAAAATCACAACACAATTTCCAGAGTCAAAGTTGTGGTCCATGATTGCCTGGCTAAGACAAGTAGAGCCGGGTGGTGGTGGGGCACGCCTTTAATCCTAGCACTTGGGAGGCAGAGGGAGGTGGATTTCTGAGTTCAAGGCCAGCCTGGTCTACAGAGTGAGTTCCAGGACAGCCAGGGCTATACAGAGAAACCCTGTCTCGAAAAACCAAAGAAAAGGAGGAGGAGGAAGAAGAAGAGGAGGAGGAAGAGGAGGAGGAGGAGGAGGAGGAGGAGGAGGAGGAGGAGGAGGAGGACGAGACGACAAGTAGACACAAGCAGGAGGGTTTGGGGTAAGAAATGACCATGTACAAATTTTCAAACTTCAACTGCTAATTTCTACAATTTGTTTTCAAAGTAATGTCAAAGATTGAAGTTTTCCCTAAGTCTAAAGTCATTAAACTTAAAATCAAGGTAACACAAAACATTGTGTTGTTTTACATGAAGTAACTCCTTAACTTGAAGTTTAGGAGACCTGTACCTAGACAGTATGTTCTTTCTCATCACAAGGTGTTCCATTACCTTTTTATAAAGTGTTCTGAGTCTCCAGGCAGTTGCAAGAAGTCTTCTTTCTTTACCTGCACTTTCCCCTCAAAGACTAATCTGATTTCTAAATCTGACCATGAATTCAAAACACACACACAAAAAAAATTACCTGGAAATAAAGCAACCCAATGACTATATAATATGAGAAGTATTTTAAAACTAGTTCAGTAAACGAAAATTTTAGAAAGTTTTCTTTTGTACAGAGCTTAGTGTATCTCTATGACTGATTTCCAGTAAGGAAAATGTACTTACTCTGAATTCTCTCAGCCCTTATGATTTAATAATGGCAGCTCAATGAACCTGCTTACATATGTCAGTCTGTCAGAGCCTTTACCACACTGCTCCGGGTCCAGCATATGTTCTAGTTTCCTCAGCAGCCAAAGAGTATGCCCATGGTATACATAGTATACAGTAGACATGCATTATTAGTTTCTCATACAGATATGATAAAAGGAATCTATGAGTTTCTCAGCAATGTATGGGATGTATTTTTGTTAGTGTATTTCTTCCTCAGTCCTCCTTTTGTTACATGAAGAGGCTGTCAGACTGAGGTTAGCTCTTTAATCTGTGGCTATGGCACAGGAAGCCACATAGTGATTGTTCCTTTGGAACTTGCTCTAACCACTGTGTTAACCTGTGATTTTAGGAGTGCAGGTGCTCACTCTCTAGATGTAATTTATTAACATCTAATAGCCCACCCCTACGGTGATATAGATTTCTGATTGTACCTAATATATATATATACACATATATATATGTATATATATATATATATGGAAAATGTAAAGATAGTATAAACAATGTTGCTTTAGTGTACAGCACTCAGTAACTAAGTGGAAGGTACTAAGAAGAATCCTATCTTTAACAGTTTCTTTATAAATGTAAACTGTGAACTCAGAGCAAGGGTGGGTGAACCTAGGCTACTAGTGTTTTTTTCTTTTCCTTTTGTTTTTTGAGATGCTTGTTGTTTTGGAGAAAGGGTATTACTATACATAGCCCAGATTGATCTAACTTGTTTTGTAGCCCTGGTTGGCTTTAAACTGATGGTAATCCTCCTGACTCAGCCTTCTGAGTGCTAGGATTATAGATATTTATTTCCATAGCCAGTATTCCACTGCTGTTTTGTAAAGAAATTTTTATCAGCCTGGAGATATTTTTCAGTCGTATGGTACTTGCCTAACGTGTGTAAGATCCTGTGATCAATCTCTATCACCACCAAAAAAGGAGAGAAAACCGAGGAATAACAACATGCGCCTATATATAATCTGAACACTTAGGAGGCAGAGGCAAGAGGATCAAGTTCAGCTTATCTTTGACTACATGTGGTAAGTGTGAGGGACAGCCCAGACTATGTGAGACTCAGTCTCAAAAACAAAGCAACAAAGTTAGTGTTATTAGATAGAACACAGCTATGTCTATAGTCTATACAGCTTTTATATCAAATGATAGAAGTGAGTATTTAGGATATAGGCTATATGGTCTTTAAAATCTATATTCTCTACTTCTTTACAGGCAAAGTTAGCTTATATCTGTCTTAAAACATTAGAGTTTCTGCATGGGAATGTATGTAGCTCAATAGTGAAATATGAGTTTAGCATGCAGAAGACCTCTGGTTTCACAATGAAATCAGAGTCCAATGAGCTGGCTCAGAGGGTAACGGGACTTGCCACTACACCCAACAACCTGAACTTAATCTCTAGGACCCAAGAACTGACTTCCACAAGTTGTCCTCTGACCTCTACAAGCTTCTCCATACACACAAACACATACAAAATAAATGATAATTTAAATTTTAAAAAACAAAGGAGTAATGCTTCTAGCATTTAATATATCCAGCTATTACAGGTAACTTCTAGGAAAAAAAGACATCCATTAAGCAACAAACTTACGATTTTGACTGGTGTCCATTTGACGTTTTAGCAGAAGTACTGTATCTTTCTGAAACAAAAAATATAGAAGTGAGCAACTGAGTTGTTTATTTAGATTATAAAATATCTATACAAAATGTCTATATTCAAATATATACATAAAATACATTGCACAAGGTGGACAAAAGACACAGGCATCCTCAGGCAATGATCTTCCACAGCCATTTTAGAAGACAATGTGCTTCACACGACCTTATCAATACTGTAACTACGCTGCTACTGATCTAGTTCAATGAAAGGAATCTACCTACTAACTGGAGAAATAAATACAGACATGATGTTCATAATAATATGGCTTTATGTATATTTTTTGGAGACAGGGTCTTACTATTCAGCCCAGACTGGCCCAAATTCACAATTGAGAGCCTGGATTGGCCTTGAACTTGCAATTCTTCTGGCTTGGCTGACCCAGAGTCAGAGTTACAAGCATGTGTCACCACATCCAACATTATAATAGCATAGCTTTAACAACAAAAGCTAGGAAATAAAGTATATGTCCATTAGTAGGAAGCTAATTAATTAATTACTTCATGTAACATGGTTTAATATTATAAAAGAGTGAACTAGAATTACATACTGATAAACACTTAGAGTAAACAAATACCAAGTATTAACAATCAGAAAAAATGTATGATCCCATTTGCCATAATTAAACACTGGGGAAGTAAATGAGGGTGGGTAGAAGTAAGAAGGAGACATTCTTAAGAGAAAATGTTAGGGTTTCTAGCTAGCTGTTTTCAGCATGTCAACATCTCAAAGCTGGGTGTGGTGGTACATATCTGTAATTCTAGCCTTCAGACACAGAGACAGGAGGATCTCTGAGTACCAAGCCAGCTTGAACTATAAAGTGAGTGCCTGCTTTAAAAACTACTGTCAGACCCAGGCAGTTGTGGTGAATGTCTTTAATCTCAGCATGAAGGAAGCAGGAGCAGACAGATCTCTGTAAGTTCAAGAGCAGCCTGGTCTATAGCATAAGTTCCAGGACAGCCAGGGCTACATAGAGAAATCCAATCTCAAAAACAAAAACCCACCAAACAAACCTCGCTGTCATTTCCCTTTTATTTATCTATAACTACAGCTACACAGTAGGACTAAATGACTACACAGACTTAGTCTAACTGCTATAAGTTGTCTTCTGACCTCCACACGTGTACTATAGCTTTCCTATGCCTTCTACACACATGATAAATAAGTAAACATAGAGAGATAAATTCTTGTTTCATCTCTTGCATTAAGATCACACACACAACTAGCAATTTCTACATCATTCAGAATACTCTTTTTGTTTGTTTGTTTGTTTTTTGTTTTTTTCAAGACAGGGTTTCTCTGTGTAGTTCTGGCTGTCCTGGAACTCACTCTGTAGACCAGGCTGGCCTCGAACTCAGAAATCTGCCTGCCTCTGCCTCCCAAGTGCTGGGATTAAAGGCATGTCTCGAAAAACCAAAAAAAAAAAAAAAAGAAAGAAAGAAAAAGAAAATCAACAAGAAAAGAAATACTTACTTTGTTCCCCAGGGCCAAAGTTAGACTGCTGAGACTCCTAAGAGAAAGGAGCAGACAGTTAT